AGACAGCGCTGGCGGAGGAGCCTCCAGAATCGGAGATTTGGCGACTTTTTGCATTTTCCAGCCGTCGTTTCTTTCTGTTATTATTGTAATTTTGTGCGAAAGGAAGTTATGAACAACTGCAAGTCAGGAAGTGGAAATCCACACCGGTTGTGACAAGCTGGGGCTAAAAACTATTTCATTATTTATATAGATGTGTCTATCAACATTCTGCTTTTCATCCAAAGAATAAAGGGAAATACCGGCTAGTCCTATGTTTGATGGTGAATGACAGACTGCATCTGAGCAAAGGAAGGACTAAATATATCAGCTAACAACACCACCTTTATTTATTGAACTCAAGAGACTTTTTTTTAACCCAAAGACTGTTTGGAGCAAGAGATTTAATGGGTCATTAAAAGGGGAAAAAAATTTTAAAGGCCCTTTTGCTTCTGAAGCACAGCTAACCTCAAAAATAGAAGCAGTACTTGTAAGACAGATATTCGAATTAAGGCTTTACGTGATGAATTTTCTATCCTATGGATATCAGTTTTGAAATAACAAACCAAGAAGATCTGTAATTGATCTAGCACCAGACAATTTCAATGCCTAATATTCCCCAGGATTGCTGGAGTACCCTAGGAGCTGCGTCAGACTGTACTCGGGGTATGCCATGGGCTGTATTCAGAGCATTAGCTGCAAATCCAAAGTTTTCCGGGAGAGCATTTCAGTGGTTGAAGTGAAAGCCTCCATCGATCCCGTTCCCACCAGCATTGACGAGTCCTCCAGCGTGGTGCTGCGCTACCGCACCCCTCACTTCCGAGCCTCTGCCCAGGTGTTGGTGCCCCCTCTCCCCAAGAAGGAGACCTGGATCGTGGGCTGGATCCAGGCTTGCAGCCACATGGAGTTCTACAACCACTACGGGGACCAGGGGATGTGAGTATTGCCGAGGGGAGGGCGCGTGCGGGTGGGAAGGGGGAGAGAGGCAGGGCCGTGGCCTGCTTGGGAAATAGTGGATCAAGCCAAAAATTATAATTTTTATAATCCATATTTAAAAACCCAGCCCCTCCGAAACTTAACAGGACTTCGGCGTGTGTTTAAAATACAGGAGAGCTTGTCCCTGCCCTTTCAAAGCAGTGGGTGTTCTTCTCCTCGAGTGGGAATTCGCCCAAGCCCCAACCAAACCTCACTTGGTCTGGTAGAACCCAAAAGCAGAGCCCTTCCACAACAGCTTTTGGGCTGCACAGGAGATCCTGGAACGCCGGGAGCAGCCCTGCTTTGATGGGTGTGTGACACCAGGGGCTCTCCTGACCTCCAGCTCCTCTTGCCTGCATCCCTCCCCATCCCAAAGTGCTCACTGGGGAGAGCCCAGGGCTGACACTTGTGGCACGGAGCCGTCCCTCGAGTGCTCTGTGCTGCTGCTGCAGTGAGCTGTGGCTGGCAGCTCGGAGCCCACCAGCTCTGGGAGCACACTGAACGTCACAGGAGGAATCCTGCTTGCTTTGCCCACAGCAGCAGGCAGCCCACGGGAATCACAAGCTGGATTTAACCCCTTGGTAGTTAAACCACCCGCATCACCTTGGAGCGGGGTGCGGATTTCACGTTAGCCTCCCTCACGGGGGATGTGAAAGGGAATATATGGGTGTAAATGTGAGGTGGGAGGAATCCAGGGGCTGCTTGCACACCAGGAATCCCCATGGTACTGGTCAGACAGTCATAGTGAGGCAGGAATGAGTCAAATCAGAATGTCACCTCCCTGCCAAGAGAAGTCATCTCTCCCCAGTCCCCACCAGCTTGTTCTCCAAACGTTGCAGGCTTTGGCCCACAGCTAAATCAGCCCCAGCACCTGATCCCTAAATGCCTGCACAGAGCAGCAATTCTGCAGCTCACAGTGCTGGGCAGCACAGGTGCAGCAGAAATGTGTCTGTCCAGCCAGGGGGACAGAGCCTGACCGTGCTGGCAGATGGGTCAGTGGCTGGAGCTGCTGATGCTGCCCAGGCTCTGGGGCTGAGGGAGGAAGGACGGGAAGGTCAGGCCTGGGAATCCTCTCCCTGCTCTGCCCCGAGCCAGGGAGATGCTGGCTCAGCCCTTGAGGGTCAGTCTGGGCAGCCTAAAAAATCCCTGAATGAGGAGAGCTGGGGGAGAGGGAGAGCAGGAATGAGTGAATGCAGCACCTTCCTGACAGCCTGAACATCTGCACGCACAGCCTGGCCCCCCTTCCCTTCCCTTCCCTTCCCTTCCCTTCCCTTCCCTTCCCGGGACCCCAGGGAATCAGGAACACCCCCGGGTGACAATCTGCCCCTCTCCTGTCCCCATGTCCCCTCTCTGCTCAAGCAGAAAGTTTCCTGAGAGGCAAACTGGTACCTGGCAAACAGCAGCAGTGCAGGCAGGGGCTGATCGTGATTTTAAAAGTATTTACAGCAGGCCTGAAATCTGTAGGCTTTCTTGGCTCCAAGAGCATCTTTAGCAAGGACAATTTGTTGCTCAGATGTTCCCAATTGCAGGCCTTTGGGATTTGCATGTGTAATTCTCAGGCTCATTTAGGAATCCTGTCTTTAGCCACCAGCTGCAAAGGGAAAATAGAAAAGTCCACTTTATATAAATACAGCTCAGATGCACTGAAATAGAGGGGACTGGGCAGAGTGGTGCTACCAGTGCTGCAAACCTCAGTGTGGCCTTTTATTCCCCTGCACCTGAGTTTCCCTGGGTTTAAAATGAGGGTTTGGTACAGCCTGCCCTTGCTGGAATGTTTTGGGACAAAAAAGAAAAAGGAAAAGAAAAGGAGTAGTAGGTGCTGCTGTAAACTGGTAGAATTAAACACTGCAGCTACCTATGAGAGCTTTTAGCTAGAAAATCATGGAAACAAAGATGTTTCCCTAGGAGGTTCACTGACATTTAGCTGATTAAAAAAAAAAAGTTACCCAAACACAAGCAGGAATTGGTCTGTTCCTGCACTCTCTTTCTATAGACTCATTGCCATCTGAAGGCTATAAATAAAGGCATTTAGGAGGAAAGGCCTCTTCAATGCCATTGAAACATGGGTTGGAAGACCATTACAGAGAAAGAGAGAGGACACAGACCTGGGAGAAAGGATGGGCCAAGGCTTTGGCTGGTGAAACTCGATGTAATCCCTCTGACCTCCACAGAGCTGCATCGATTGATGCCAGCACAGCCCCAACCCTCCATGGCAGGCAGAGGCCACTGCCACATCCATGTTTTTAACCCCTGTGGTGACTGGCAAACAAAAAACCCCAAATAATCAAAAATCACTCATCCGACCGGAGCACCAATACTTACAGCAGGCTCTGGATTAATTTTTCACTTCTCTGCTGGGAAGTTGTTAGCTGTGCATAAGCTGGCCATTACATTGAGGATGGAAACAGCTGAGAAATACTGGAGCAGATGGAGCTGTGCATAATGCTGCTATAGGGATGGGAGTACAGAGGGGATAATTTAGACACGCACGTTTAAAGTGGCACTGACAATTTGGGGGCTAAATGCAGCATTTTAAATTTAAAGGGAGAGAATTAGAGCTCAGCTAACACATTAAGCGCTGGCATTGCTTTACATGTGAGTCAGGAGATGCTGCAGAGAACATGAAAACCCTCAGCATGGGGATGGGGATGTGCTTTGTGACCCCTCTCTGTGCACCCATGGCTGGTGCTGCTGCTCCTCCCTAAAGTGCAGGATTTCAGCCTGGTCCTTAGGGAAGGATCTGCTGTGCACAGGGAGGCAGCAGCATCAGGCCAGAGCTGTGACCTGAGCAGGAGCAGCTGGACCAGGTCCCTGCTGGCATCTGCTGGGCTGGGTGCTGGTTTCTGCACCTGGTGGAACCTGTGCCAGCTCTGGGCCCTGCTGGAATGGCATTATCCAGCCTCCTTCATCTCCATGGAGATGTGCAAGAAGCTGTGCAGATGGAGATATGCAAAAGAGAGAGATAAATAAATTGGAATTGGAATTTGATCAGCCAGGAATCTGGAGAAGTTTTCCTGTGGATGTTTCTCCCCCTGGAAGACCTGATGGGGCACTTGCATCCTTACATCATCACTCCATCTTCCCAGGCATCTCTCCCTGGTGAGATTAAATCTTCCATGCCCTGCAGCAGGGACATAATGAACTCAAATTGCCAAGAGAATAAACCCCCAGTCCCCAGGGGGGAGGACACAATCAAAAACACCACAAGGGCATCTTTTCCAAAGAAAGTGAAGGGAGGTCAGTTCCCTGTGGGAATTTACTTCTCCAGGGATTCAGAGGATGAGGCTCTGCTGCCCTGCAGTGGCCCAGGGAGCTCACCCACCTTAGCCCAGTTCCATGGGTTGTCCATTGAGTTTGCTGCAGCAATTATTCCCTTTTTCCTAATGCCAGTTTTGTGTCAGTTCCACTCCCTGACCCAGCCCCAAACACTGCTGCTGGTTCAGGAGATGGGGCAGGAACACACAGCTGGAGGGTGGGAGGAAGAGGGACCACAGCAGCACAGCAACATCTTCAATTTCCTTCCTGTTCTTCACTCCAACCCTGCCTTGACTTGCCTGACATGCTGGAAAAGGTGAGAGAGGCATTGTAAAGGAGAATTTAAAATTAAGCAGCTCTGGCTATCAGGTTTTCTTTGTCCCAGTGAGTCCCCAGTGCAGGGCAGTGGTGGAGGGAGGCAGGAGCAGGATGTGAAATCCTGAGACAGAGTTTCACTGCACCCACACATGGCCCTGCTCCCTGCACCAGGCAGGGGCTGTGCCCACAGGGGCTGCTCTTCTTTAGGGAGCTTGGAGAGGAAGGTGCTGGAAAGCAGAAGGTTGTGCAAGTCCATCTGGCCTGTGACTAATTAGGAGCTGGCTTTAGGCAATTAGAGCTGAGGTTGCAGCAGTGCCTGGTGCCTGTCTGGAGAGGTTACCTGCATGTTCCCCACTGCTGGATGCCCAGGGCTGGCTTTGCTGTCCCTGCCCTGCTGGGTGCTGTGGGACAGACATCTGGAGCTCAGGGTGATTCTGTTCTGTGTGACAGAAGAGGGAAAAAAGTGTCTGAATGAGAACTGGGAAGCCAAAACCTACATAAAGCTGCTTGGCTGTCAGCAGCAGGGCTCTGCTTGTACCACAAGAAATAGCTCAAAGTTCTTTCTGGTAGCAAGAAGACATTTGTTGGAGAGGTTTCTTGGCAGCTCCGGGCTCTGGTGGTGCCCACACTGGCTCTGAGGGTTTCAGAGGAGGCAGAAACAGGCCTGTCAGTGTTGTGAGGCAGAACCTACTGATCCTGGAGCTGATCAGTGAACCCACGAAACCAGATAGCTTGGTTGCTTTTCATGCCTCCTTCCTGCTATTGTCAGCAAAGTGTTTACTGGGCACTTTCTGGTCTCTCCTTGGCTCGACACTACCACAGAAAGATGCTGATGCAGCCAAAGATCATTCCACAGCATTCTTTCCAAAATCATCCAGTTGTTGGCATATTATTCAGCATGGACACGCTCTGCAAGCAGAGGCTGCCAGCCTGGCTGGCACAGGGGCTTTGCTGGAGCATCAGGAGAGGGACAGGCACCAGCAGCAGCCACCAGGCAGCCTCTGCTCTGCTCCAGTCATGGGATCATCATGAGGCCTCGTTTTCCTGCTTGTTCCAAGCAGAGCAGATGAAGCATGATGGTTTTGAAACCCTGGGGTTAACCACACTGGCTCGAATTAGGCACAGCGTGCTCTCTGAAGAAACGCAGGCTGGTGTCTCCTTCCCCATTCCTGCCCACGCCTTTGCTCAAGCTGGGTGTCCTCCTGGGCCACCCTGAGCCCAGCCACGCTCAGCTTTGCCCTGGGATGCTGCAGGCTCTGCAGGCACCATCCTGCTCAGGCCCTGACACAGCTCCACCCTTGTGCTCTTGTTTAAATCCTGGGCAAATCCCCAGGAGCTCCTGCAATTCCATCCTGACCTGGGAATGAAGATGAGGACAAGCAGATCTCAGAGGAGCTGCATTTACTGAGCATCCTCTGCCAGGTTCTCCTGCCATCCAGCCAGCAGCTCTGATCTGAGCAGGCTGGAGCAGCCCAGGAGGGTTCTCATGCTCTGTGGCACCTCAGTCCTGGTTTGGCACCTGGGTACCTGCAGAGATGCTGTGGCTGCACCACACTGTCACCTCAGAGTCAACCTCTGCCACGTCTCAGCCCTGGGTGACAGCCAAGCTGAGCACCAGCCCCTGTCTGAATGGAAAGTAATCCTAAACCAGCAGGTGACAGGGAGAGAAGAGCCCCCAGATGGGGTTTCGGAGCTGGGCTGTGCAGCAGGGAGGGGTGGGGGCTGCAGAGCAGGACCTCCATTCATCCATCAGCGAGGGCTGGGTCACTCAGCATCCCCTGGGCCTTCCTTGGGCCATCCTTGAGCTTTCCTGAGCCTTCCCCTGCCCAGCTCTGACTGAAGGGCGCAAGGGATGGTGAGCCAGGATGACTCCGGTTTGCAGAGCAGAGCAGAGCATATAAACATCTCTGCAGTGCACAAGGGTCCTGGCAGGACTGCTCAGGGATCTCCTTTTGGCTGCCTTCACTAAAAATTTTCTTCCAGGGAAAGGACTCCCTCTGCCTGCTGGCGATGAGCGCGGGAGGAAGGCATTGCTGCAGCTGCGGTGCCGTAGCTGACAGCAGCCTGTAAATCTGAGCAGGGAGATGTTGTGCTTGCATAACCCCTGCTCCTGCGGCTCACAGCATCCCTGCAGCTCAGAGCATCCCCTGCTCCTGCTGCTCAGAGCATCCCTGCAGCCCCTGCAGCTCCGAGCATCCCCTGCTCCTGCTGCTCCCTGCATCCCGCAGCCCCCAGGGCACCCCACCTCCTGCTCACACTTCATCTCCCGTGGGGAGGTGTTTGCCAGGACCCCCTGCTCACATGAAAAAATAGATAAATGAGACCTTGAAATCCCCCGTGGTATCCTTTAGCCACAGCCAGACACAGCTAAGTGCTGAACGATCCAGCGGGTACAAACATGGAGGCACTTCACGGTCATTAACTAATTAACAGTCAAAACAGCCTTGTGAGACAGTGACATCTCCCTGGCCAGAGCAGCCATCCCAGAGCTGTGCAAGAGCCAGCCAGGCCGACCAGTACCCCCAGCCACAGGCTCCTCTGCAATCAAGGGGCTATTTTTAAGCTGCAGCACCAGACTTATGAAAGGCTTGGACAGTCACCCTGACCCTGAGGAGCCTCAGGGCGTCCCCTCTGTGTCTCTCCAAGATAAATCATTTCCCATGTCCTAGCCTGCAGCAGGGAGCCACAAGGCTTGGGGAACTGGAGCACAGCCAGTGCTATGGCAGGGTCAGGTGCAAACACCACTGCTGCTGCCACCAGTCCCTTCTGCCACCTTCTCTGCTGGGACACCATCCCTGGCTGGTGAGGAGTGCTGATTCATGAGCAGGAAGGAGAAGGTGCTTGAGAGGCACCTCTACCAGCCTGGTTTTAAAAAGACTGTCCTTAAAACAGCTGCTGTGCACTGAGCAAGTGATCTGTGGCCGTGCCGTCTCAGAGCAAACATCCAACCCTTCTTCTGAGACATTTTACAGCAGTTTGCCTCTACTGGCAAATCTAATCTTAAAAATTAAATTGGAAGCTACTGAAAAAACCCACTCCAAGCTGTGCATCAAGCAGCACAAGGTGACAGGGGGGTGTTTTCACTCACATTCCTGCTAGCAGCACTGACCTTTGTGTCCCTCTCGCAGGTGAGCAGTGCGGGCAGCTTTACAAGCAGCTCCACCTGGGGCTCTCTGATTACTGTAACACCATCCCCAGCCCAGAGCCTGGAGTGCAGCCCTCGGGCTGGGTCCTTCCAAGGGCTGCAGGAGGATGGGTTACACTTCCAGAGCCAGGCAGACAGCGGGGAGGGACAGTGGCTCATCCAGAGAGAAATTCAGGGGATGAACGGATTGAGAGCGGGCCTGACGAGAAGGATGCTTTTAATGGCAGGGATGGCACAAAGGGCACAAATTCCAGTAAAAGCCAGAGAGGGAATGCATCCACAGCTCTTCCCTCTCCTTTCTAAAGTCCAGCATGTTTCTAAACTAATTAATTAATTCATTATCCATCATTTGCTATTGATTATGGCAGGTCAAGTTGGGAGCTTCCAGATCTCCTGGACGGTAAAATCCAGGCTATCAGTGACTCAGACGGAGTGAACTATCCCTGGTATGGGAACACCACAGAAACCTGCACCATCGTGGGTCCCACCAAGAAGGAGTCCAAGTTCAACATCAGCATGAACGACAACTTCTACCCCAGCGTGACGTGGGCCGTGCCCGTCAGCGACAGCAACGTGGCCAAGCTCACCAGCATCCACCGGGATCAGAGCTTCACCACCTGGCTGGTGGCCACCAACACGGCCACCAACGAGATGGTGACCCTGCAGACTATCAAATGGCGCATGAGGCTGGGCATCGAGGTGAACCCCAGCAGGCCCCTGGGGCAGCGTGCCAAGCTGCAGGAGCCCTCTGCCCAAGAGCAGCCCCAGGTCCTCAGCAAGAATGAGCCAATACCACCCAGTGCCCTTGTCAAACCCAATGCCAATGATGCTCAGGTACTCATGTGGAGGCCAAAGGATGGACCGCCACTCGTGGTGATACCCCCAAAGCATCGATAATGCACGCCTGGCGTCCCGGCAGCGAGAGGGAGAAAACAAACCCGAAGCAAAACAATCACTTAGGTA